TGTGTGTGTGTGTGCGTATATATATATGTGTGTGTGTGTGTGCGCGCGCGCGTGTGGACTTGTGTACGTGTAATTATATTTGTAAGATTTAATATACTTATAGAGCTACAGTTAAAGTAGATATTAAATAATTCGGACAAGGAAAACAACATATATATTTGATGTATATATATATATATATATATATATATATATATATATATATATATATATATATAATACAATTATAATACATAATATATATTATATAATATTATAATATAGTTATATAATATCTAATAATACAATATATATATATACTTATTGTATATATATATATATATATATATTTATATATATAAATATATATATATATATATATATTTAGGATGAAAAATCAATATATATATATATATATATATATAATATATATATATATATATATATATATATATATATTATGCTCTCAAAATAATTTGAATTTAGCTCTCCCAGGTGGAAGGGCCAATTTATAAACAGTTTGCTGCTGCTGCTAATGCAATGCTCTTCTACTAGATTTGAGGCCTCTAACTACTGACGTCTTTCGCATAGTAAAAACGTTCAAATATCTCTTCCGCTCTACCCTGTGACGATAACCTGGGGTAGAATGTGGCCCATGCCAAATCGATTGAGTTTCGACCCAGCTTGTCTAATCACACTGTGAGCTGTAATACAACAAAACAGTCTGGATGATCATATATATATATATATATATATATATATATATATATATATATATAATATAAATATACATCAATATAGATAAATATAAAATATTATTTGTCATAATATAAATAAATAAAAGCAAAGGAATAAAAACAAGATAAATTATAATATTGCTAAACTCTCCTTCACTTTTGAAACAATCTGTATGTAAATAGATATACAACATAAAAGAAAATATTTACCGCTTATCCTTCTTACCAATTCTCTTCTTCATTTCTTCTTTTCGCAACCCAAATCGAAACCCTAGGCTAAGGCCACTTTGCAATGGCCAAGCCAAGTGTACATTTCTCTGTTCCTTTTGATTAAGTCTCAAACGCAAGGAAAGCAATCGATTGAACAAAATATCGGCACTACAGGCTTCTCGTTCTAATTTCCTTTAAGGCTAATGTTTTTTGGGGGGATGAATTCGCAAAGTAAGGTCAACTAATTTCGAAAAGACGCCAATAAAGAGAAGCAGGTAAATGAGAGGAGATTGATCGGAATAGTTTCATTACTGCAGGCATCAAGTTGAAATTCTTTTGCAAAGTTAAAGTAATTCGCAAAGTTTGACAGCGGAAGAAGATTGGAAACGTTTGGAATTGTGATATCAATTCGGGAAAGACATCAGATAAAAATTATGATATACAAAGTTGTAAGCTAAAAGTATAAGCAAACAATATTAGACAGTATCAAAATTCTTTCCGTATTTCTAATATCCTCTGGGTATGATGATAAACTACATTCGGTAGCAATGATTTCGGGAGATTGGAAGTTTTAAGAAGAGTTGAACCACTTCTTAAGTGCCCTTGTTCCTATGTTTACCGTGGCTCGTGGTCGCAGAAACTGTTAGGGTCCCAGCTTTTGGCAAATGGTTAAGCGCCAAACGAAAACAAAGCACTATAAAAGTATAGGAATGCACTTTTATTATAGAAGTGCCAGCAATGCATTTTATATGGAGAAAGTTTCAGCTCTACATATTTATTATGAGTTTACCAGAAATACATTTTATAGTAGAATTGCCAACATACATTTTATATCAAAATCACCAGCAATATATTTTATAGTATAATTACCAACATACATTTCATAGCAAAATCACCAACTATACTTTTTATGGTATAATTGCCAAGATACATTTTATAGAAAAAATCACTAGCAATACATTTTATAGTATAATTGCAAACATACATTTTATAGCAAAATCACCAGCAGTACGTTTTATGGTATAATTACCAATATTCATTTCATAACAAAATTACTAGCAATACAATTCATAGTAAAATGACCAGCAATTCATTTTATAGTATAATTAGCAAAAATACCTAATCACAGTAAATACATTTTATCTGTATTTGTAGGCATAACGTTGCGTTCAAAATATCTTTACTTAAAGCCATAGAATTTTTTCAAAATGTTTGAATTTCGACCGTGGAAGTCACTATGATGTGCTAATTCCTATATCTTCAATATACATATACATATATATATATATATATATATATATATATATATATATATATATATATATATTTATATATGTGTGTGTGTTGCTATGTGCTTCTCTCTCTCTCCCTCTCTCATTTTCTCTCTGTCTCTCTCTTTATCTCTCTATATATATATATATATATATATATATATATATATATATATATATATTATATTCTATATATATATTGAGATTATATTGAAATTGTTTGCGAAGATGTATTCTCGCCATTTAAATCATTAACCTCTATATTTGTTGTTTGTATGTATGATTCATGTAATTACATACACACACTCATATATATATATATATATATATATATATATATATATATATATATATGTCTTTCTCTCTCTTTTTGTACGCTGGGGTTGATGTGTCACTTATATGAATCTATCAACCAAACAACTACCATGAATTAACGCTTTCAAGTCATTAATCTGTATAATATGCTACAATTTCTTAAAGAAATCAAACCATATTAAAAAAAAAATGCTTCAACAAAACTACAGCATGAATCACATACATCACTGCCTCTAGTAATTATGTTAAGACAAATATGTATATTCACAAAAGCTGAGTATCGTTTACCATGTAATCAACTGTGAAAGCAGAATAATAAATATACTATTTTTATTTCTTCCCTGCTCTGAAAACAATGACATCTTGGCATGAAATAACCCGTAAAAATTGATATGACGCTAAACAAAGAAAAAAAAACATATAATACCGTTCATATATTTACTACAGTTAAAAGTTTTTAAATGCTATTGACGTAGTTCTTACGTTTTAAACTGTCATTTTCATGAATTGGTAGTGCAATGTGTAACTGTCACTGACTCTGAAAGCGGAATCGGCGAATCCAGTTCAAATTCCTACCATGTATGTTGCGTTCACTTTAGCACCAAGCCCCTGGGGAAAGGCATGAATCTATCTTTTCTTCCTGTCACCAAGACTTATGTAAAATTGTATACTGGTTTCTGGAGACTTGGATGGCAACAAATTTATGAAAAGAAAAAAAGAAAAACGATTTCAGAAATATTGCGCAGTCTACGGTAAACTATTCCAACTTATTTCTACAGAAATCTTGATCATTCAGAGATAGTGAAATGGAAGCTGTGGAGAGTCGTGATCGACTACGTATGGAAGTACTAAAATAGCTTGGCATTTGTAATGAACTTGAATCTGTTTGGGCAGAATCTATGAGAGCTCTATATACTCCCTTGTGGATTAGAAGACATTAACCTCAATACATAAGGTGTCGATGCCATGGTTTCTATAGTAAGTAAGATCCTACAAGCGCAAACTTCCAACCGCACACACAACAGGCTCTGGACTCGGGAATGATATGTCCGGGAAAGGGATATATTTGAACGAAGTAGCTAAGTGGATTTGGCTACTATAACCAAGTAGAATACGGTACCAATAATCGTCTGGTACGCGTCGTAGTCACAGGTAAGAAGTGTAGATTAATGGCTTAGTCCAATGGGCGTCGTTATAGACTTAGCTCTCAGACTAAGGCTCCTGACTTCTCTTCTGACTCTTCCTATACGTCCGTTGATATTTATGACGAACACCAGCCAATCATATTCCAGTGAAGGGGAACACAGGTGTATGCATATTCCATTATATCAAGAAATAACTTCCTTTCTCCTAGACTGGCTGCCGCTAAAAAACAAACCCTACAAGGGACAGGAGGTAGTGGAGAACAATGATTACCCACGTGTTGAAAGAACCCGGCATATGGGAGAAGAAGAAGAAAAGAAGGAGGAGGAGGGAAAAGAAGAAAGAAAGAAGGAGGGAAAAAAAAAAAGAAAGAAGAAGGAAAAGGAGGAGAAAAGAAGAAAAAAGAAGAAGGAGGAGAAAAAGAAGAGGAAAAAGAAGAAGGAGGAGGAGAAAAAGGAAGAAGAAGAAAAGAAGAAGGAGAAGGAGGAGGAGAAAAAGAAGAAGAAAAAGAAGAAGAAGGAGGAGGAAGAAAAAAAGAAGAAGAAAAAGAAGAAAAGAAGGAGGAGGAAAAAAGAAGAAGAAAAGAAGAAGGAGGAGGAGGAGAAAAAGAAGAAGAAAAGAAGGAGGAGGAGGAGAAAAGAAGAAGAAAAGAAGAAGGAGGAGGAGAAAAGGAAGAAGAAGAAAAGAAGAAGAATAAGGAGGAGGAGAAAAAGAAGAAGAAAAGAAGAAGAAGGAGGAGGAGAAAAAGAAGAAGAAAAGAAGAAGGAGGAGGAGAAAAAGAAGAAGAATGTATATTTACTCATATAAAGTCGTTCGTTGTTTAAAACAATAACAAAGAAACTGTTGATGGTCACTCATTTTCGTCCACCAGTGATCGTCTTATTGATATTACAGCTAAAGTAAAGCATTAATATATATGCTACGCTTGCATTCTGTATTCTAAATGATTTCTTTAGCTCTCTTGGATGTTTAGCAAATAGAACACAGAACAGAGAAATATAAGATCAAATGGCTTAAATTAAATCATTATTTTACTAGAACACTATCCACAGAAGATATTAGTTGATAATGGATATATTTTAATTATTTAATATGCTCTTTCTGTGCTGACAAGCTAAGTCTGCATTTTGTGTAGATAAGGCAATAATGTGATTAATAATTCGATTAATTCATAGTTAAAAGATAACATATGATCACAGACTTTCATATAACAAATTTTCTTTGCTTTTTGGCAGAAAATGCCCGTGTGAACAAAATTTATCGAATTATTGCATGGACCAAATAAATAATTCATCAGCATCAGTCTGATCACTTTATATCCTACTTCACATATATATGAATAAATTCAGATAGATAGATAGATAGATAGGATATGTACAGACTGATAGATAGATACTAGATAGATAGATAGATAGATAGATAGATAGATAGATAGATAGATAGATAGATGAATAGATAGATGGATAGATATAAAGACTGAATAGATGAATAGATAGATGAATAGATAGATAGATAGATGAATGGGATATGTAAAGACTGAATAGATGAATGAATGGGTAGATAGATGGGATGAATGACTGGATAGATAATAGATGGATATATGATAGATAGATAGATGAATGGATGGGATATGTAAAGACTGAATAGATGAATGGATGGATGGTAAAGATGAATAGATGGATGAATGATGATAGATAGATAGATGGATGGATAGATAAATGACTGGGATATGATGGATGGATAGATGGATGGGATGTGTAAAGACTGAATAGATGGATGGATGGATGAATGGGATGTGTAAAGACTGAATAGATGGATAGATGGATGAGATGGATGGGATAGATGGGATATGTAAAGACTGAATAGATGGATGGATGGATGGATGGGATATGATGGACTGGATAGATGGATGGATGGATGGATGGATGGATGGATGGATGGATGGATGGATAGATGGATGGGATATGTAAGGGCTGAATAGATGGATGGGGGATGGGATGGGATGTGGATAGATGATAGAATAGATAGATGGATGGATGGATGGATGGGATGTGTAAAAGACTGAATAGATGAATAGATAGGATATGTGAATAGATGAATAGATGATGGATAGATGAATAGATAGATAGATAGATGGATGGGATATGTAAAAAAGACTGAATAGATGGATACATAGATGGATGAATGAATGGGATATGTAAAAGACTGAATAGATAGATGAATGAATGGGATATGTAAAGACTGAATAGATAGATAGATAGATAGATGGGATATGTAAAGACTGAATAGATAGATAGATAGATAGGTGGGATATGTAAAGACTGAATAGATAGATAGATATATAGATAGGATATGTAAAGACTGAATAGATGAATACATAATAGATGGGATATGTAAAGACTGAATAGATAGATAGATAGATGAATGAATGGGATAGTAAAAGACTGAATAGATAGGATAGATGGATGGGATGGATAAATGACTGAATAGATAGATAGATAGATAGATAGGATATGTAAAGACTGAATAGATAGATAGATAGATAGATAGATGGATGGGATATGTAAAGACTGAATAGATGGATAGATGGGATAGATAAGGATGTGAATAGATAGATAGATAGATAGATAGATAGATGAATGGGATATGTAAAGACTGAATAGATATGATAGATGAATGGATGAATAGATAGATGAATGGGATAATAGATAGATAGATAGATAGATAGATATGGGATATGTAAAGACTGAATAGATGAATAGATAGATAGATGAATGAATGGATGATGGAAAAACTGAATGGGATATGTAAAAGACTGAATAGATGAATGGATGATAGATAGATAGATGGATAAATGACTGAATAGATATGTGATAGACTAGATAGATGGATGGATGAATACAATGGGATATGTAAAGACTGAATAGATAGATGGATGGGATAGATGATGAATGGATAGATAGATAGATGAATGAATGGATGGATGGATGTAAAAGAATGAATAGATAGATAGATGGATAGATAGATAGATGGATATAGATGAATAGATAGATAGATATGGATATGTAAGACTGAATAGATGATACATGGGATGAATGGGAATATGAAAGACTGAATGGATAGATAGATGAATGGGATATGTGGGATATGATCAGATGACTGAATAGATGGATGATGGGATAGATGAATGAATAGATAGGATATGTAAAGACTGAATAGATAGATACATAGATAGATAGGATATGTAAAGACTGAATAGATAGATAGATAGATAGATAGGATATGTAAAGACTGAATAGATAGATAGATAGATAGATAGATAGATAGATAGGATATGTAAAGACTGAATAGATAGATACATAGATAGATAGATAGATATAAAGACTGAATAGATAGATAGATAGATAGATAGGATATGTAAAGACTGAATAGATACATGAATAGATGGGATATGTAAAGGACTGAATAATGAATAGATAGATGAAGGATGGGATGTGTAGACTGAATAGATAGATAGATGAATGGGGATATGTAAAGACTGAATAGATAGATAAAATAGATAGATGGGATATGTAAAAGACTGAATAGATAGATACATAGATGGATGGGATATGTAAAAGACTGAATAGATAGATACAT